TTTTTTTTTTGAGTGTGTTTGAGTGTATCTGTGCTAAAAATATAAACATGCTTTTTTTGGATTAAGAATTGATGAGAAGAAAAAAAAAAAGAAACTAATTTATAAATTATACAGTTGGCAACATCTGAACGATAACGGGTCACGTTCTGCTGTGCGGTTTCAGCGAAATTTTCAGTTGTCAACTGATTTACGCTAACAACTGATCAATCATATGTTTCTTTGTTTGTTTTCCTTTCATCGTTTTCTTCTCTCTGTTCTTTTCCAGAATCCTCTACTACGAAAATTGCTGTAAAACTGTAATTTTTAAGCTAAATAGATTAAGTACTGGTTAAGCCAAAAACAGAACTGAAACTGATTTTTTTCTGCTTTGTACCTGTGTGCGTTTAATTGTAAGACCGAATTCATTCAATACGGGCAAAGAAGGAGCCTACGGTAATACTAAGATTTTTTTTTTTCGCTTTTGTTGAAACTGTATTGTTGAAGTTGAGGTCCAATGTCAACAGAAGGATTCCGGTATTGTCAGTTTAACTCTTCTTCTGTTATTGTATAATACAAAGTGTTTTATACAGTTTAAATAATAATGAAAACAACAACAACGAATAAGAAAAGAAAGCTTAAACAGTGTTATGCGTTAAGACTTAAATAACTGAAAGATAAAAAAGAGGCAACCAGAAAATTGTCTATGCAAATTTTCACCAACAACCAACGTATCAATAGATGTGTAAACTACTTTTCTTTTTTTGTTGTTTTTGTTTCGTTATTTGGAAAATATTTTGAAAGCTAATAATACAAAAAGTAGCAGTCAGCTCAGCAAAAATGTCGTTAAAGCATTTCAAAATTCAAAAAAAGAAAAAAAAAAAATATGACGTTGATTTAGGAAACAAAAAAACTGTGTTTTTTCACTTCAGTTCTAAACAAACCAACCTTTTGGATAACACTCTTTTTTTGTAGCTATTCTTAACAACTTTATTCAACAATATTACTCATCTGTTTTTCTTTGTTTTTTTTTTGTTTACTTTAATGTTCAAATAACTTTTTAGCCTAAAAAAAGATCAAAAAAAAAAGCAAGGAAAACAAGTTGAAAAATCGTTTTGCTTTTCCTAACTCTATCACACCGATACTCAACACAGTCATTTTGTTTGCTGATTTGGTAAGTTATAAAAAAAAAAAAAGAAAAACAGGTAAAAAAAAAACTCAGTGAAATACATTATTAGTAGTAAACCGAATAACTGCTGCAGTTTTGTTTATAAAAAAAAAACTGAATAATCAATTGATAAACTAAATCTTTACTGCTGCTGAAGGCTCATTAATTATATCAATTGCCTGTTAAGTTGTAAAAGATTCTATTTATTTTTCTTTTCTGCTGATATTTTTTTTTTTTTAAATTTAATACAGAAAAAAAAAGTGAAATAAAATTTCAACTTCTTCATTGGATTTTAAATTGGCATTTAATCGAAAGTTTTTCACACCTATAACAGTGATCAACTGAACGTCAATACAATGGTAAGAATGCTTTTTTTTGCTGTGCCAACGTTTAACTGCTTCTAAGATGAGGCAATCTGTTTCAGCCTATTTGTTCAGCAAACTTTTGTTGTATAGATTTAGTCTAAATATTTAGATGGTATAGTTGAAGATAACTGTAACTCTCTTCTCTTATTACTTTTTTTACTTACTAAAGTTGTAACTCTCATCTATCTCTATTGCTAATTCTACTTTAGTGCTCCAACATTTGGCACTCAATTTATGCTACCTATTTGCTGTTAATAAGACCGAAAAGTTTGATGACAAAATACCTCAGTTGATTAGGACGATGTTAATCTGTGTAACAGAATTCTAAATTTATCAAAACAATCAAATAAGCTTAAATTTTTATCTGCTTTTTTGGGTTGGACTTTTATGCAATATCAACGATTTTATCCGAGTCGATAGTTGTTAGAGAAGGTTTTTTTTTTT